TCGGATATAGAATCATCTAAGTATTCTACTCTAGAGGAGTTATACGATCTTTTTCTACTGCTTCCTTTTTTCAACAATCTTTTTCACTATCAAAACCTCTAGTTCAAAAATTGTACCCTTGTTATGAAGAAAATAGAAGATTCTTATTTTTTAATCGTCACCAACCAACAATGGTGGGACAGTTTCTTTCTAAAACGCTATTCCCTGGCCATGATTTCCCCCCGGAGGGATGGGGCCTACGTATTCTTAATACCTGTTCCTTTAAGGATCCTGATCTTTGCTCTGAATGGGCCCAAATTGCAGAATTTGTGTACACAAAAAATGGATCAAACTTTTAATCATGTATAGAGACGATAGGTTCCAGATACTCAAAAATACTACCTTACAACTTATTTATCAACTTCAGTCTCTTACAACCCACACTTCCACTAATCTGGCTTAAAACACTTAAACGCAATACTAAATATAGGGAGGACTCGCTCCTAGGTACCAAATTAGGTAAACTTAGGAGAGACCTGGATGATTATAACCTTAATAGAGTCTTCAATTGGAAGAAACCTAAAACTGTCATTCCCATTTCTCCTCCTTCTTCCCCCTTCCCCCCATCCCCAGTTTACTACATATATCTTTTACCTCCCAAAACATATACCATCCCTTTTAAAAAATACCACTACTCGTAACCATCCACCATTCATACCACCACATCCCCCATACTATACCCCCCCACACACCACACACCGCACTACCCCCCCCACCAACCATATTAGTCATATATCTACAGTTAATGCTACCAAAATTATTCCCCTGAACAGCCCAGCAACATTGAGGTCCCTTTTTTAGATCAGGAGTCACTACTAAAAAGAGGCCTCAATTTTGCACCGACTACTACACCTAATCCTTTTACCCTATTCAAAGACCTCAATAAATTCACCCGCAATCTTACTCTCAAAAGACATTTTCAGCTACAGGCCCTTAAGAACGCCAAAACATCATCTCTCTATCCCCTAACACCACCACCATTGTGGAAACAGATCCTTCAATTGACCCTCAGGCCCTAGACTTACTAATGGAACTCTGGGATGACGGAGACCCAGATGACACCTTTCTTCTGTCTCAATATCCTCCAGATTCTCCCCCGTATTAGACATACAAATCTAAACCTCCATCCACATTCAACCCAACTTATAATAAGGGTCCCTACATAGAGACTTTTTTTTCAAATGGTACACTCTGATCTCAAAATCCTCTGTTCTGAAAACACTAAATTTACATCTAACCTCAACCACTCTGAATTCTTAGCCCTCAAAAACCCTTAGCAATAACTCTGATATTATCATTAAGACAGCTGACAAGGGGGGAGGGATAGTCATCCAAGATAAGGTCGATTACTTTAATGAAGCCAATCGTCTGTTGTCTGATTCCAACACCTACTTAAATTAGCCTCGGACCCTCTTCCTAAATACATTCTAGAATCGAATGATATCATCAAAATTGCCACCCAGGAAGGAATTCTCTCTAAATCAGAGGCTTCTTTTTTCCGGAGAGACATATTCAAAACTCCATATTTTTATCATCTCCCAAAAATCCATAATGACCTTGATCATCCGCCTGGCCGCCCTATAGTTGCAGCTATGGAGAGCATTACCACCAGCTATTCGCTCTATATTGATAGCTTTCTCCAACCTCTAGCCCAATCACTTCCCTCCTATATTCGGGATGGTGTACATCTATTGGAAATTCTTGAGGCGTACTCCTGGGAACCTTCTTACATCTGGGTCTCCCTTGACGTTAGTTCCCTATACACCTCTATCCCTCACGATGTAGGACTAGAAGCTGTTCTACACTTCCTGTCTTTGGATGCTTCCCTCCACCCTAGCCAGATTAATTTCATCCTCACTGCTACAAAATTCTGCCTCCAGCACAACTATTTTTTGTTTAATGATAGTTTTCTATTTACAAAAAACGGGGCACAGCCATGGGCGCTAATTTTGCACCTAGCTATGCCAATCTCACCATGGGCCTCTGGGAAGATCGCTATGTCTGGAGTAATAACATCTTTGCTGCCCATTTGGTGTTCTATGGTCGTTATAATAGACGACATTATCATCATCATCTGGGACGGCCCTGTCACTTCTCTTGCATCTTTTATTCAACACTGTAACAATAACCCATTCAACCTTTCTTTTACCCACGTTATGGACCCTACCTCACTAAGTTTTCTTGACCTGGAACTTAGCCACTCGGACTCTAATATTATAGCTAAAAATTACACCAAACCAATCGCTGGTAATTCCTTTCTTCATTATACTAGCTGTCATCATCCGAGATGGCTCAAAAATATACCCAAAGGGCAGTTTTGCAGACTTCAACGCAACTTAAGGACTACAAAGCCCAAAGCATTGAATTAAAACAAAAATTTACAGAAAAAGGATATCCCTCTGAGTTAGTGGAACAAGCATATCTCACCTACTTATCAGACACGATCCCCCCACCTAAGCCGCAATCATCGAACAACAACAATATCCGTTTCATTACACAGTTCCATTCTAAACATCACAAAATGGAATCCATCCTGAAGAAACACTGGCCTATCTTACATCAAGATCCACACCTTAAAATGATTATGCCTCCTACCCCCACATTTGTATATAGAAGAGCAATTAACATTAAGAATAAAATTGCACCTAGTAAAATTCCCCCCCTGAAATTCCCTCCTATTCACAATAGATAGACCGGTACTAATCCCACTTATTGGGATGTTCCGCTGCAACAAACCGCTCTGCCTCACATGTGCCCATGTGAAGCATGGCCAACAAAATTTTACAAATTAATGGAAAAGTCTATCCCCCTCCAAGCCTTTTATAATTGCTCTTCCACATATGTCATTTATTGTTTGTCCTGCCCGTGCGGCCTTTTATATGTGGGACGTACCATTAGAACACTGCGAAAAAGATTTGGAGAGCACCGGAGGTCAGTTGATGATGGCATTACTAAATATAGTGTTCCCCGCCATTTTTCAGAGTTTTCATTCTAAATCCTCTCTCCATCTACAAGTATGGGTCATTGAGGCTATACCAGACCATCTCCCCCCCAGTTGAACGTTTCAAATTATTATGCCAACAGGAGACCTATTGGATTTTTACTTTAGATACCCTTGCACCTAGGGGCCTCAATGAAGAGATTGAGATACACACGATTATTTAATTTTTTTTTAAAAATTTATTTAAAAAAATATTTTAATTTATTCTTCATATCTTTTTTATTATTTATTATTTTTTATCGTATATACTTCAATTCCCACCACTTCCCTTTTTTTTTTTTTTTTTTTTTCTACATGCGTTTTTTGTGTTTTTTTTTTTTTTTTTCTTTCCCTGATTGTCTCCCCCCCTCCTTCATATTCCACCTTCTTACCTGCCCATCTTACCCTTTACAATCCACATCATAGTAATAACGTTTATAACTAAATATTTCCTGTGTAATCTTTTATCTTCCACATGCGTTTTTTTTTTTTTTTTTTCCCCCATTTCTTTCCTTTCCTTCTATTCTTCCTATCTTTCCACATGTTCTACAGAAAGCAGCTGCTCACCGTTGTATTTCTTATGTTTTCCCCACTGCTTGTTAAGCCTGTATGCATTATACATTTTTTTTTTTTAATTTCACTACCCCGCCCTCAGTTGCCCCACACCCCTTCCTCCTCTCCTTATTTATTGGCTCATTCCATCTAGCAATCAGGTCTGATGAAAAGGCAGGTTGCCTAGAAACGCCCGGTCACCGCCCCCTTGGAGGATTCCCAGCAAACGTTCTGATGTCATTTCCTGCCCGGTGGCCATCTTGGATGTGCCTCAAGCTGGCTACTGTACCCACGCTGATGTGAGAGATCAGCAGTGCCTGCCCTGGATCCCGGTTCTTATCTGCGCCGCGACTCCCGGTTACTGCGCCTGCCATCCTCGCTTCCTCCTGTGGGACCCGCCTAGAGCGCGCCAGCCACGCATCACACCTTGACATTACAGCCATCCATTTTGTGAGGTGCAGCACAGATGACATCCTCCTCCTTATATATTGATGCCTGATATCTACCACGTCTTGTGAGTTTTTTATAATCTTGTGTGCAATCAATAAACTTTTATATTCATACTGCACTTAGTCTGGCGCACTTCTCTTTTTTTCTCCGATGACTCAGAGACTGCAGACATAGACTACAGGAAATGACCAGAGACTGCGGGGACACAGTACAGGAGAAGGACCAGAGACTGCGGACATAGTACAGGAGATGACCACAGACTGCGGACACAGTACAGGAGATGGACCAGAGACTGCGGACACAGTACAGGAGATGACCAGAGACTGCGGACATAGTACAGGAGATGACCAGAGGACTGCAGACACAGTACAGGGGATGACCCACAGACTGCGGACAGTACAGGAGATGACCAGAGACTGCGCGGACAGTTACAGGAGATGACCAGTAGACTGCGGACATGAAGACTTCAAATTTAACTTACCCAGAGACTGCAGACACAATACAGGGGATGACCAGAGACTGCGGACATAGTACAGGATGAAAGGACCAGAGACTGCGTACATACAGTAGTACAGGAGATGACTAGAGACTGCGGACATAGTACAGGAGATGGACCAGAGACTGCAGACATAGTACAGGCAGATGACCAGAGACTGCAGACATAGTACAGGAGATGACCAGAGACTGCAGACACAGTACAGGAGAAGGACCAGAAACTGCGGACATAGTACAGGAGATGACCACAGACTGCGGACCAGTACAGGAAATGACCAGAGACTGCGGACACAGTACAGGAGATGACCAGAGAGACTGCGGACATAGCACAGGAGATGACCAGAGACTGCGGACATAGTACAGGAGATGACCACAGACCGGACACAGTACAGGAGATGGACCAGAGACTGCGGACACAGTACAGGAGATGACCAGAGACTGTGAACATAGTGCAGGGGGCTGATGACCAGAAGACTGCGGACGGTACAGGAGATGACCAGAGACTGCGGACACAGTACAGGAGATGACCAGAGACTGCGGACACAGTTACAGGAGATGACCAGAGACTGCGAACATAGTACAGGAGATGACCAGAGACTGCGGCGGACAAAGTACAGGAGATGACCAGAGACTGCGGACACAGTACAGGAGATGACCAGAGAGACCTGCGGACATAGTACAGGAGATGACCAGAGACTGCGGACATAGTACAGGAGATGACAAGAGACTGCGGACACAGTACAGGAGATGGACCAGAGACTGCGGACATAGTACATGAGATGGACCAGAGACTGCGGACATAATACAGGAGATGGACCAGAGACTGTGGACACAGTACAGGATGACCAGATGACTGCAGACAGTACAGGGGATGACCAGAGACTGCGGACAGTACAGGGGATGACCAGAGACTGCGGACAGTACAGGGGATGACCAGAGACTGTAGACAGTATAGGGGATGATGAACAGAGACTGCGGACAGTACAGGAGATGAACAGAGATTGCGGACAGTACAGGAGAGACCAGAGACTGCAGACAGTACAGGGGGTTATGACCAGAGACTGCAGACAGTACAGGGCATGTGACCAGACATTGCAGGCCTTTAGGGAGGGGGGGGAGCGGGTACCTGAATTTAGCAGGTACCCGCTCCCACTTCCGCAGAGTTCTCCTTCCTATACTGTGGGCACCCGACTTTGACAGCCGGGTGCCCACTGTGCATGCGCGAGAAGCGCTGCGCTTTGTGAATGGCCCGGCGTCTTTTGGGACCTGTCATGTGTCCCAGAAGACACCAGACCATTCACAAAGCGCAGCGCTTCTCGCGCATGCGCAGTGGGCACCCGGCTGTCACAGATACCGGCGTGGGAAGACTACAGCGCTGGACCGAGGAACAGGTGAGTTCCTGCCGCAGAGAACAGCTGAGCGGCCGGTCTGGTATTCTGACTTGGTGGCGGCGGAAATACCGGATACCGACCGCTTTAAATTCGCTTCATAAGACACACTGACATTTTCCCCCTTTTTTGGGGGGAAAAAAGTGCGTCTTATGGAGCGAAAAATACGGGTAATTACCACTGGGTTTTTATTTTCTGCTAAATAAACTAAAACAAATTTGGAAAAAAAAAAAGTTTGTCTTTATTTCTGTTATAAGATTTTGCAAATAAATAATTGTTCTTCATACATTTAGACCAAAAATGTATTCTGCTACATTTCTTTGTTGAAAATAACCCAAATCAGTGTTTATTATTTAGTGTGTAGAACAGTTATAGAGTCCACAAACAATGCCATATATCTGAAAATCAATCAGTCCTGATGACCATTTTTTGAGGCCCAAAAATGTCAGGACAATACAGATATCCCCAAATGACCCCTTTTTGGAAAGTAGACAGAAAGAAGGTATTTAGGCATGACAAGTTTTTTTAAGTTGTAATTTTTTGTCATAATTAAGATTAAGTAATTTAAAAAAAAAATCACACTTTTTTTTTTACATACTGTCACAAGTGCAGTACAGTGTCATCACATAACTGGTGTGGCGGTGGTAAGGTACACTGACTGGTGACAGTACAAAAAAACAAAAGTTTATTTTTTTCAAATTTTTTATATAATTTATTTTGTTTTTCTGGGTTTTTTTTAACTAACTGTGACCAGAGCAATATAATCTTACCCTAATAACATTGTACTACTCTGTGGAAGTGATCAAGATTTTTTTTCTTACGCATTATGATTGCTTGTAGTAGTGAATTTCACTGCTATAAGCATGCATTTTTCTAAATTAAATCGATTCATTCATTTTGTTTTGTTGTGAATAGCTGTGATTGGCCACAGCCAATCACATGTTACAGATGGACTGTGATTGGACCTATCTGTACCATGTGATCACTACAACCAATCACAGCAAGCAACGCAATTGTAAAAATCAATGGCATGCAATAAATAAATACACTTTAAAATTCCTTCTGTTAACCTCTGTAGCTGTAGATATTGTGGTGCAAGTAATTCTTAAAGCGGTTCTGAAAGCTGAAGACTTTTTACCTTCAAACATTCAATGCATAAGATAAAAAAACCTTCTGTATGCAGCTGTCCCCCAGCCCCTCCAATATTTCCCTGACCCAGACTTCGGTGGTAGCCATAACATACTGTGTATATATATAAATATATATATATATATACACTATAATATTGCCAAAAGTATTGGGACACCCCTCCAAATCATTGGATTCAGGTGCTCCAATCACCTCCATGGCCACAGGTGTATAAAATCAAGCACCTAGGCATGCAGACTGCTTATACAAACATTTGAAAGAATTGGTCGCTTTCAGGAGCTCAGTGAATTCAAACGTGGTGCCGTGATAGGTTGCCACCTGTGCAATAAGTCCATCCATGAAATTTCCATGCTACTAAATATTCCACAGTCAACTGTTAGTGGTATTATAACAAAGTGGAAGCAATTGAGAACAACAGCAACTCAGCCACGAAGTGGTAGGCCACGTAAAATGACGTGTGCAGAAGTCGGTAACTGTCTGCAGAGTCAATAGTTAAAGACCTCCAAACTTTGTGTGGCCTTCAGATTAGCACAACAAACAGTGCATAGAGAACTTAATGGAATGGGTTTCCATGGCCGAGCAGCTGCATCCAAGCCTTACATCTCCAAGTGCAATGCAAAGAGTAGGTTGCAGTAGGGTAAAGCACACGGCCACTGGACTATAGAGCAGTGGAGACGTGTTCTCTTGAGTGACAGATCGTGCTTCTCTGGCAATCCAATGGATATGTCTGCATTTGGCAGTTACCAAAAGAACAAGTACTTGCCTGACTGCATTGTGTCAAGTGTAAAGTTTGGTGGATTGGGGATTATGGTGTGGGGCTGTTTTTCAGGGGTTGAGCTTGGTCCCTTAGTTCCAGTGAAGGGCACTCTTAAGGCATCAGCAAACCAAGACATTTTGGACAATTTCATGCTCCCAACTTTGTGGGGAACAGTTTGGGGATGGCCCCTTCCTGTTCCAACATGACTGCACACCAGTGCACAAAGCAAGGTCCATAAAGACATGGATGAGCGAGTTTGGGGTGGAGGAACTTGACTGGCCTACACAGAGTTCTGAACTCAACCCGACAGAACACCTTTGGGATGAATTAGAGCGGAGACTGCAAGTCAGGCCTTCTCGTCCAACATCAGTGCCTGACCTCACAAATGTGCTTCTGGAAGAATGGTCAAACATTCCCATAGACACTCCTAAACCTTGTGGACAGCCTTCCCAGAAGAGTTGAAGCTGTTATAGCTGCAAAGGGTGGGCCAACTCAATATTGAACCCTACAGACTAAGACTGGGATGCCATTAAAGTTCATGTGCATGTAAAGGCGGGCATCAATACTTTTGCCAATATAGTGTGTGTGTGTGTATATATATATATATATATATATATATATATATACACAATTAAAAAAAATATTGGTAATAGCAAGTCATGTAAATCATTACATCAAAATTAAATTATATTGAAGTTTTAGAAGTGTACATGAATATTATTGTTATATGTATTATAGAAATAAATATGTTGGTTCTTGGGGTCTTTTACATAGGGAGTGGTGTATCACTTTGAGCACTGGTGTGGATTTGAAGAGACCCTGGCATAATGGAGTTGACTTTGGAAACACTCACATTTGTGGATTATCTGAACATTAAATGGACACTTGATTTATTGTTTGTTTTCACTAATGAACACTAGGTGTTTCACAATATAACTTTTGATGTTACTTATATATAGATTTTTTAGTTATCACATCGCTGCATTTTTAAAATATATTTTGTTTTTTCCTTCTTTTAAGTACACAACACGTTCTGTATGCTCCTGCTTCAAAGTGAGTTGTAAATTATTCTCTGTAAATGCTGCCTGTAGATTTTTTTCTCTAAGTGACAAAAGTTTCTTAAAGTTCATTGCTGGAAATTTTAGAAGATTAGATTCATGCCTAGGATTGTCTACCGTGCACCCGCCACTGTCTGTAAAAAGAAAGAATTCCAAGCCTTGGGATTACAGGAGCAACAATTAAAAGAAAGCTTTAAAGCTGACCCTTCTTCCAAACCTCATTTTTCCTGCGCAGGAAACTATTCTATACTTAGGTGCCAATTTTAACATAAGCCTTAAGCCCCACATAAGCAAACAAAGGCTAAAGAAGATGTCATCTTCGTCTAATAGTAGTGACGAACATAAACACGAATTCTTTGTTTGACTAGAGATAGTTCATTTGGGAATGGAACCATAATTCATCTGGCTTGGAAATTTAAAAGTGAAATGTGATGGAATATTTGAAGATTTGTTATTATGGAGGCATCTTGTCACTAAAGTACTTTCACGTACCACACTTCAAAGATCTTTTACATTCCTAAAGAAAAAATGTAAATAAGGAAATGACTATCTCAGGCCTAGTCTGCTGGTTTTATAAGGTATGTATATGTTGATAGTTGTTTTGCCTGAAAGCTACTAGATTTAAAAGTAAAAAAAAAGGTCTTCTTGCAAAGAAAAAAGATGCTTACTTGTCCTACTGTCCACGACTCCAGTCTTTGTTCTCTTGAGGAGCTTCACTGGCTGAAATGTTTTTTGCATTCAATTGGACTTCTGGGTTTGCTGGATGCCTGGTTACCACTGTGCACAGGACTAGAGATGATTGGAATGGGTTCAACAAAATTGATTTCACTCTGAAATTTCAGATTCCACTGATTCAAAATTTCTGATTTTGCCAAAACCAAACATTTTCATTTAAATCATTGAGCTGCTTAGACTTTGCTTAAAGTGGTTGTAAATCCTTACATATACCCAGTGAAGTGGCTAGCCTAAGGTGATACACAGAGATGGAAAAAAATCCTCCTACATAAGTTGTACCTGTTTATCTAGAGCCATCTGACCCCTCCCTCCATTCAAAGTGCAAAAATTACACAATTTGGAAAAGCAGGGGGTGGGGAGCTAAATTTACATTTGTCTTTCTGTGACAAATAGTAAAATAAAGAGGTTTTTTGGTAAATGAACAGGTCCAGGATATTATAAAGGTGTTTCTACAATGCTTGGGAGTCATTTAAAGCCCATTGCCCTTAATTTGCCTTCACTATTGACTGTAATGCATTTTACCAAGATGGTGCAATTTTGCTTCTCACAATTTATAACATTTTGGGAAAAAGTCTTAATTTCACATATCCCTATAAATGACCCAGTAGTTATGTAGGGGGCAGAGAATGGAGCTACAAAAGATATCAGAAACCCATATTTGATCCAAATCTACTGGCACCTACTGTAACAATTCGGGATAGAACTTGCCTATCGCAAGGGGAACTTTAATTAATTCCTGTATTTATTTCAAGGATGTACAGTTGTATTATTATTATTCTTCATTTTTAGTTTGCTTTATTTGCTGGGCTGAACAATTAAAGTGAATTGACTGGGAAACAATACAAAGAAAATACATTAACTCCATTCATTATCTTCCCTGGCAAATGATGACATGTAAAATCGGAAATTAGACGTCTGGTAGAAAAGAAAAAAAACATTTGTTTGGTATCTTGTAATAATGATATATAAAGTATGATCAAAATAAATCTAGACTTTAGACAGTGAAGTGTATTGTGGTTAAACTGCAGAACTGGAAGGCAGAAATTAAATATGTGTATACTTTTATATCTGTCTGAAGCATAATAATAACTTACCCCTTTATGTTGGAGATCCCATCAGTCTGAACCCCACAGGATATAGTTAACTTGCATGTGTTAGCAGTTATCTTCAGAGACATAATAATTTACACTTAATTCAGAATTTGCTATTGTTTGCATAGACAAGTCAGACACACAGTAGTTGTTATATCACTTCTAAAACCATTATGTAAGAGATACATTTCCAGGAAAAGTTACACAGGATGTTAATAAAATGGTTCTAAATGAAAACA